CCTCGACATGGCCGCGCTCACAATGCCGGCTCCGGGCACACCAGGAGGGCAGTATCCAGGTCTCGGATCACCAATGCCATCTCCAGCCTCGCGCGTCGCCTCCGCCTCCTCAACACGTCCTCCCTCCGCCGGAGTAGGAGGCCCGAGCGGCAGCCCCATTGTCTCGTCTCACTCGAGCGTTACCATCAATGCCAACGCCAACGGCAACGGAACAACAGCTTCCACACCAACCTCTGCACGCCGCATCACCCAGCGCATGACAAATCGTTACAGCGTCAACGCCATGTATTCGCTCGCCGCCGAGCAGGACGTCGAGGTCGAGGACGAGTTGGCTCGCGCACAAAAGCGTCTGCGTGATCTCAAGTCCCGCATCAGCTCGCAAAGCAAGAAAAACTTTGTCCTCGAGCGTGACGTGCGATATCTTGATTCGCGCATTGGTCTGCTTATTCAGAACCGCATCGCTGCAGACGAGAAGCGACAGGTGCAGGAAACCCTCGAAGAGGTCGAGGAGACCCCGGGGTCCTTTCCCGACTCAAGAAAGCTCGCCCACTATTCCAACTTTTTCTTCCTCCTCCAGAGCGAGCCACGGCACATTGCCACGCTGTGCCGCCTCGTCTCGCTCAGCGAAATTGACACACTCCTGCAGACAGTCATGTTCACGCTCTACGGGAACCAATACGAACAGCGAGAAGAACACTTGTTGTTGACAATGTTCCAGGTGAGTCCGCGACAAGTTTGAGTAGTGCCATCGAGCGGTCCAGCTAACAACCAGAGCGTACTTGCTGCGCAGTTCGAGTCCACTGCCGAGTTTGGCGAGTTGCTACGTGCCAACACGCCCGTGTCACGCATGATGACCACGTACACGCGGCGAGGACCTGGTCAGAGCTACCTCAAGGATGTCCTGGCAGAACGGATCAACTCACTCATTGAGCACCGACACTTGGACCTCGAGATCAATCCCTTAAAGGTCTACGAGTCTATGGTGTCGTCGATTGAACACGAGAACGGCGCCGTGCCACCATCTTTGCCAAAGGCGATCAACGCCGAGACGGCCGCCGCTAACGAGGATGTCATTTCGATCATTCAGCCCCGCCTCACCATGCTCATCGAGATTGCCGACTCGTTCCTCCAGATCATCCTCAACTCTCTCGATCAAGTGCCATACGGAATCCGCTGGATCTGCAAGCAGATTCGATCACTCACACGCCGCAAATACCCCGACGCCACGGACGCATCGATATGCTCGCTCATCGGCGGCTTCTTCTTCCTCCGCTTTGTTAATCCCGCTATCCTCATGCCCCAGGCTTACATGCTCGTGGACGGCGTGCCCGCCAAGCACCCACGGCGAACGCTCACACTCATCGCCAAGATGCTCCAGAATCTCGCTAACAAGCCGAGCTATGCCAAGGAGCAGTACATGATGTCGCTCAATCCGTTCGTCGAGAACAACAAGATGCGCATGAACCAGTTCCTCAACAGTCTCTGCGAGGTCGGCGACTTTTACGAGAGCCTCGAGATGGACCAGTACATGGCCTTGTCAAAGCGCGACCTTCAGATTTCAATCACGATCAACGAGCTCTACAACACCCACCAGCTGTTCCTCCAGCATATCGACGTCCTCTCCCCAAATGACAGGCAACATTTGCGCGTGTTGCTCGACGACTTGGGGCCAGCGCCACCCTCAGTGGGGCGAGCAGAGAACAACTCGCTCGACCTTCCGCTGTACTCACGGTGGGAGACTCCTATCCAGGACCTCTCGTCCGCTCTCATCAGCGACTCGGTCAACCAGAACGACATCAACTTTATGGAGACCAAGTCGATTTTCGTGCACCTGTTGCGATCGATGCCGAACGAGTCGACGAAAAGACCGATGGATCTGATCGCGCTCGCCGAGCGCGCCGCCACGTCCAAGGACGCGGTACATGTTCGCCGGGGAATCAAGGTGCAGAACCTGCTCAACGAGCTCGAGCTCGCTGGCGTCATTGACCGCTCCGACGGCTACCGCATCCTGCAGGACGAGGTCGCGATGGAGATGGTGCACCTTGGCAACGCGCGCGAGAAGGTTGTCATGGAGACGCGCTCGCTTGAGAGCGTGTATCGCACCATTTGCGACCACAACACCTACCTCCGCGGTCAGATTGAACAGTACAAGGCCTACCTTGTCAACTCGCGCATGATGATGGCGCGGGACAAGGGCACGACAGGTGTAGGTGTACTCTCGGTGAACGGCAAGGAGAAGAAGCCCGCCAAGCTCGCCCTGGGCCCCTACCGCTTCACGCACGCCCAATTTGAGAAGGAGGGCATCATCACCGAGAGCAACGTGCCCGAGAACCGGTAAGTCGAGAGCGGTGCTCTGCGCGCTCAGCCTCCTGTCGACATCGCTGACCCTAGCCGCGCCAACATCTACTTCAACATCATCTCGCCATCACCAGGCACGTTCATCATCGCACTGCACTTCAAAGGCCGCGAGAAGCCCATCCTGGAGATGGACCTCAAGATCGACGACCTGCTGGAGAAGCAGCAGAAGGACGCTGATGCGGCGCTCGACCTCGAATACGTGCAGCTGCACGTGAGTAAGGTGCTTGCGCTCTTCAACAAGCTCTTCACGAAGCGGCGCTAGCGCTGAGCCAACTAACGCTTGTGCGGCATCTAAGCCGCCACCCCCGCCACCCCCGTCATCCCCATTGCCTCCTGACCCGCGACCGCCCGACCCCGGACACATGTACAGGCCTAGATCCGGCACCCTATACCCGACACCAATTACCATTATTAGTAGCTGCCGCTGCCACGCGGCTGTATTGTGGCATGTACGAGTGGATGAGGTGAGGGGGCGTGCGGGAAGGGGGTGCGGCCGCGCGCGAGGGGGAGAACGGACATTGAGAGCGGACAGCAATTCGACGGCGCACGCGACAGGATCATTACGCCCCACAACGCTGTCCCATTGGCCACACTGATAGTGTAGTGGTTAGCATAAGTGCCTTCCATTGGAATAGCACTTGACCGGGGTTCGAATCCCCGTCAGTGTAGCTTTTTTGCGACATCTGGGGCCGAAAGGCAGTGCCGAGGGGGCGGAGTGGCTGTAGACCGTGGAACGACAGGCGCAGTGGCCAGAGGTGTGCGTCGCGTAGGTCCCCTGGACTTGGCCAGAACGTGGCCACATCCACTATATGCCGATATCCCTTATCGTGCGCGTTCCGCTCGCCCTAGACCGTCGTATGTAACGCCAGTTGAGCCATTTACCCCCCTCCGTATTCCCCCTCCCGTGCCCTGCACAGCCAATATCGGTTCATACTGGTATCACTATGGACGTAGACTATAGCTTGTTCACGGCTGACTTGACAGATCACAACAGGCACTGACAGCTCAGCGGCGGGGCGGGCCGGTGCCCTCGTCCTTCGAGTCGTACGACGTGTCGATGGGGCCCATGAGGAGCTTGACGAGCCACGTCTCGGGCGTGACTGGGGTCAGCGGGGTGGGGATCGCGACTCACGCTCGATGCCCGTCTTGCGCATCATCTCGGCCTGCTCGCTCTCAAAGTTGGACGTGCAGTCCACGAGGCCGCCGACGACGGGGTGGTTGTCGAGCGTCTCGAGGAACGCCTGCGCCTTCTGGTCGTTGCCGACCTGTGCGAACTCTGCGTGTCAGCGGTGGCTGCGCCGCACTCACGGTAGGACACGGCGTCGCGGCCGTAGCGCGAGCGCGCGAGTTCTTGGTCGACGCGCTGGATGACGGTGAACACCTCGTCGCGGTTCTCGCCGGCCGGCGTGCCGTCCGTGATGGTGATGACGACGACGGGCTTCTGGAGCTGGTTCATGCGCGCAGGGCGCAGCACGAGCGGCTCCAGCACCTTGCTCATGAGGTTGGTGCCGAGGGGCGTGAGGCCCGAGAACTTGATCTGCTGGATCAGGTTCATGGCGGCCGGCTCGCTCGTGATGTTGTCGCCCTGCGTCGGCGAGTTCATGAAGCGGACCTGGATGCCGTCGTGGTCGAAGAGAGCGGTGGCGGTGGCGACGCGCGACAGGATCCTGTGGTCAGCGTGGCCGTGAAACGACTGCTCACAGCTTGAGGTCGTCGATGCGCTCGCCGTTCTCCTCAAAGGCCATGGAGCCAGAGTCGTCGACGTAGAGGATAAAGTCGAAGAGGGACATCTTGACGAGGTCCATCGCGATCTCCATCGGCAGGCGCCACTCCTGGGCAATCTTGGGGAGCGCACCGGACTGCGCGACGCGCTGGGCAATCTGCTCAAGCGAGCCGGGCGGGTAGAAGGCCTGCAGATTCTGGTCCTGCACACACTGCTGGAGCAGAGGTAGGAGCTGCTGGGGGCTCACGCCGCCCGCGCCGGCACCTCCGGCCATGCCGCCCATGTGTGCGCCGGGCTGTTGGCCGTACTGACCGGGCTGCTGGCCGTACTGGCCCTGCTGCTGACCGTACTGGCCAGGCTGCTGGCCGTATTGTCCCGGCTGCTGGCCATATTGGCCCTGCTGCTGGCCGTACTGCCCCTGCTGCTGGCCCGGCTGGCCATACTGGCCAGGCTGCTGCTGACCGTACTGGCCCTGCTGGGGCTGACCGTACTGGCCCTGCTGGCTCTGCTGGCCCTGCTGGCCATATTGACCAGGCTGCTGGCCAGGTTGGCCGTACTGGCCGGGCTGCTGCTGTCCAGGCTGTCCGTATTGGCCAGGCTGCTGCTGACCATACTGCCCCGGCTGCTGGCCGTACTGCTGCTGGCCGGGCTGCTGACCGTACTGGCCAGGCTGTTGGCCGGGCTGACCGTACTGGCCGGGTTGCTGACCATAGGCGCCAGGAGCGCCAGGGGCGCCGGGCTGTCCGGGCCTGGGAGCGTAAGCGTTCTGCACTTGCTGCCAGTGATAGGAGGGCGGTGGTGGAGGAGGAGGAGGAGGAGGAGGAGGAGGAAATGGACGGTAGGCCATGGTGGTGTGAAGAGAGTGGGGATGCAGCGAGGGAGGCACAGACTCGGGCGGTTATATCAAGGCGCACACGAGCACAACGGTGTCAAGTGTCCCAAGTACTTCCCCGAGGCTATGCCAGGACACGCATGACAGGGCGTCGGAGCGAGCCTCGAGGCGTTTAGGCCGGTGGCGACAAAAAGTGTGGTTCGTTTGCATGTGCGTGTGCGTGTGCGTTGTGCGTGCGTGCGTACATGCGCATGGGGCGTTGGGCGTGGGGCGAGGGATCGGCCTCCACACCGCGAGCCCGCCATCCAGCTCTACCGTGATGGTCGCCGCAGCGCGTGATTGTGTCATCACGCCGCGTGCTGAGGGCATCTAGATGGTAGACATCTCGGACCTCGAGACGAGGGGTCGCCAATGGGGTTTCCTCGGACAAAGCGAGAGACGGCTCGTGCTCTTCTGAGCGGCCAGCGGCCAGCGGCCAGCGGCCAGCGGGCGGCAGATTGGCTGCCTTGGTAGGCGATAACATGGGTGCACGCAGGCCACAAGACGGCAAGACGACACAACGAGCGTAGTGAGGACCGAGTACTTACCTAGCACCTGGGACGGGGGGAGGAGCGCCGGGGGGAGCACCGTACTGGCCGGGTGCGCCGGGAGGAGCGCCTGCGGGAGGAGCGGCTGCGGGTGCGCCGAAGGCAGCTCCGGAGGGGTTCTGCTGTGCGGATGCGAGCTTTGATGCGAGGCCCATGATGAATGGTGAGTAGTAAGTGGGAGATGGAGAGATGGAGAGATGGAGAGATGGAGAGATGATGAGAGTGTGAGAGAGCCCCGGGGGGGGGGGGGGGGGGGGGGGGGGGGGGGGGGGGGGGGGGGGGGGGAGTGAGGCTGTGGTGTACAGGATGCCGCGCGATGACGAACCCCCGGTGTCCCTGCACAGCCGTCTTGTTCGCCTTCCTTCCCTCCCTCCTGCCAGAGGCAGTAGTCGGCTTGCCACGTGGGATGACGTATCCCCCTTGAGGGAGGCGGGCAGCCGTGGGAAAGCTAAGGCAGAGAGCAAAAACGCCAGTCACTCAAGAAGAATCGAACGTGTGACTGGCCATATTCGATAATTGTTCCTCCCCTTTTGCACGGGCGGGATCAAATACACGCTCACGTGACGGAGGACACAGAAGAACCGAGGCGTCGAGGCCCCGAGACAACATGGCACATGCTCGCATGCATCCGACGCGTCTTCATCTTATGATCTTACATACAACCCACCCTCGAGCCACATTTATGCGTTGAGACGAACGAGTACAGAGTAACAAGGGAGAGAACAGAAGGAAATCCTCGACGCAGGCACCGACCCCTGTCCTCTGCTCTGCTGGGAGGGAAGGGGGGGGGGGGCAATTGAGCGGTGACCGGGTGGACCGGCTGAATCATTCCCTGCGCTCAGGATACGACACGACACGACACGACACCCCTTCCGGCCTCTCGTAGGAGTTGCAAGTGGTGGATCTTTGAGGATGGTTGGTGGTGCGTGTTCCTAGTTCCGGTGGATGCAGTGAGGGGGGAGGACGAGGGGGGAGGAGGAGGACGACGACGAGGGGGAGGACGAGGACGAGGACGAGGACGAGGAGGGGAAAGAGGACGCCACAGTGAAAAGTAGATTGATAGATTGGTGCTTTTTTTTTTCCCTCGTGCTGCCTGCCCCCTGTTGGCTGTGATGTTGCGGCGGAATATCGGCGTCGGTGGGCGTCGGTGGGCGGCGGTGGGCGGCAGTGGGCGGCGGTGCTCGGCGCTGGCGTGTTGGATGCATGCTCAGAGGCCAGAGGGTGAGCGGTGTGGGTATAGAACCTTGTATGCAAGCCACAACAACCGGGTGTGGGCCACTTTTTGATTTGCACTCGTCTCTCTCTCTCTGTCTCTCTTGTTGCTCCATTCCTCATCTCTCTCCTCTTCATCATCATCATCATCATCATCATCATCATCTCATCCTCATCTCTCATCTCTCACTCACACACTCTCTCTCGCCATCTCTCATTCCCCTTTCACACAAAGACACTACTACTACTACTCTCGAATCAGCCAGCTTTCAGCATACACACACACATACACCCACCCACCCACCCATCCATCCCTCCTCGCTCCACACCATCACGAAACATCTCATCAACATCAATTGTCTCACTTCTTCTTCTTCTTCTTCTTCTCAACTACTCGCAACGCCCCCCTTCCCCCCCC